TACATATATATACAAAAATAGGGAAAAAAAAAGTTTTTAAAATAATTTGCTGTCTTGAAATCATTGGTTGTAATTTTAGTTGACGAAGATTGCTTAGATTAGAATATAAAAAGCTTTCGGTCATAAACTCCCTTAAAGATGGCTCCTACTTCTGGTACCTAATCTAAGACGTTTTCGAAATGTCCTAATGTTCTAATGTCACCAGAATACCTAACGTCATTTCAGCCCCTGAAAAACTTTCTGTTTAAGAATGGCCTATGGTATCATAGTCCACTTAAGCAAACGTACCTGAATCCATTAACAATTTTAATGTATAACGCGTGCATGAACCAAAGATCCCGCCTCCGTATACTCATGCACCCGGAAACGTCTCTACCAGTTATAACATTATATCTCTGCCGCTAATCATGCTCTGGTCGAGTTCTACAGTGCCAAGTTGACTTAAACGAATCAGCTATTTCTGGCCTCTCGAATCTACGGCGAAAGTTCACTTGTCTCGCTACAAAGAGTCGCCCGTTCCTTCACCCGAGCAATACGCGCTCAATATATCAAAGAACGTTTTCCCATATATTATTATTATAAATTTTTCATTTTATAAGATAATACCCAGTCAGCATAAAACGAGTTGCAACACGACGAATGAATGTTACGTGCTTATATACGGTATAAAAAGATATATATTGTAGTGAATTAGAGCATATGTTCACATGGGGCATTGATAAGAAGTTAGTTAGCTAGATTAGGACATAGGTTTAGCCTAATATCCGGACGCCCCTCTGTTCGTGAAAGACCATGATATACAAGTACTCATATACGCATACATCGATATATTCCGCTACGTTTCATCATAAGCAGTTGCTGGACTTCCGTCTTCTTTAGGATAAGAGCCCGCTTACAACAGTACAAGTAAACTATCGCAAGCTATTGGATAGACATCGCGCAGCGTATCCTGCGGCCAGTATGTTCGTTATCGGAAGTTTGTATGTACATAGGATATGTATCTGTATGTGCAGAGTTCGTACCTAGATATCCAAGCTTATTTTTCTCTCATTCCAGCTTAATGAGTTTTACAGAAGAAATGAAGCCAGAAGTGAGACTTACCCAATTTAACCCAATAATAGAATGTTTGCGAATTCTGGTTAGAAGAATGTCACAAAGCAGAAAATTACAGAGATAACTCTGATAGATATAACCTGAGTTCGTTGATCTTAAGATCGAAGCAGGGCAAAGTTCACAGTTAACTTTTCGTGATTTTTTAAAATTGAAGTCCTTGATTTAATTAAAAAAATGTATGCATCGGCTGCACATAAGCTGACAATGTGTTAAAAAAATGCATTAAAATGTGTTAGGTATCTGCATTCTTCCACGAGCCAAAATTTCAAATATCATCCTATATAGTAGCCTATGATCCTAAGTAGGTCTAAAAATGTTGGAAAACGCTAAAGGTAATTGATCCATTCGGCTGAAAAGGTTCCTATAGAATTATGCAAAGCACACTCTGTTAACCGAATGGACACATATCGGCGATGCGTTTGTTGGTTTCCACTAATATGTAAGTTCTACGTAAACAAAATTGTGTAATACTGAGATAACGGTAAATGAACATTCATTAAAACTGTGCCCCCATAGTATTTGATATCGCCGCCAATGAAATCCACCTACAGATTAAACTTCCATAGTCCGGGGGTATTTTCATCATTAAGGAATTAGCTTTTAAACATCAGACGCTGCGCTAAATAGACGCTTAAAAAGAAGAACAAAGTTGTTTACAGATTTGAAGCTGCTGCTGTACGATTACGATGCAGAGTTCAAAGAAGGTGAGCGCTTTTTTTGTAGATCAACAAACAGTTACTATCATTTTCAATAAACTTCGACACTCAGAAATTCTGATTCGAGGGCATAAAGTCACTAGAAACTAGGTTCTATTTATTTTCTGCTATTTTAGTTAGTTCAATGTAAAATGAACACATATACGAGAGTAAACCCTAAATCTATTTACGATATGTGCACTTGTTTTATCTTTCTTCAGCTCTATCTTAAAGGTGAAGTGTTTTACGTCGTGTTGGTGAGGGGCATTGCACCATTGCTTACCATTATTATCACTGAAGCAATATGGGGTATGGTTTTCTAAAGCTGACGGAAAAATTGTTGTGACTCACTGTACCTGCACAATCGAATAGCATTAGAAAATCAAGAGGTTTTTTAGGCTGTAGGAAATCTGACTAGTTTATAATTTACACCCTGTATTGAGCCGTCGTGTATCTGCCATTGGCCGGTGATTTGTTTCGGTACCGGCTGCTATATCGATATCGCTATCTTCAGCAAATACCGCTAGTCTGAATAATGAACTTCATTATGTAGGAATGAGTATCCATTGCGATAGTACACCGACGCAATGATAATACAAATGCCACCATCGTCTAAAAAAGTTGTCGACGAATCGATAACTTGGTTAACTATCTAAGTTAACTAGCTAGCTCACTAATTGTCAGAATAGCAGTTTGCGCAAGAGAAATTAATAAAAACGCTGTATTCGGTGTAGTCTTTTGCACCGACTGTGCTTGGGGCGAGACCCAAGAATAACAATGCGGTACAATTTCTTTAGGTAAAGTCAGTACGTTACTACGACAGGCCAGTCATCTACACAGCTTTGCGTGTGTGATAAAAATTAATATCACTAAGAGTCGTAGTAACATTTATTTGGAATTGGTTATGCCAATGGCAGACAACGGTCAATGCTGATGGCTATACGACAGCCTCAGTAACAGTAGACGAAACCCGGATGAGTAGGCGGCTCGACGTTGGCATCTTGTAGCCTTAGCTCCCGCTATTCTAAGTTGACTTGTTCGAAACAAATGCCAGTCAGTCAAGATAGTCATAGGATCGGGAAATAATGGAATCGTTTAAACTGTTAAAGGTGATTTCAGCCATATAAAAAAATCGACAGTGAAGGCCAGTTTTCATGTGCCGTATAGAAACAAACACGTCTCCTCTCAAGGTTCTCAAAAATCAACAATGCATTTCGCTGCGTTTTTGATGCGTCTGCATGAGAGTTCTTTGGCTGATTCGTTCATCCTGACAGAAGCCGAGTGCGAAATGGTACGAGTGAGGCTCGAATCGTTGCAGTAACTATTAGGTTCTGTTTTTCGCCCGAACCTGCTACATAAATGACGGTGGAGGAAGGGGAAAGCTGCATGCAATGGCGGAACGTCGTCAGGCTGAACGGCAAAGCGAAGTGGGTAAAATGGTACGCCATAGAATGCTTTTTTATGCTTTAACGTAGTGCTGAATATAAAATTTACTCGCGGAAGCTTACCATCGGATATGATGGAGAGAAAAAGAGCCATTTGGAGATCCTACCCGCTACATAAAACCAGCTCGTGCTCGGCAGGAAGCCACTGTTGCTTTCCAGCTAAGCAGATCGATCAGATGTTTTGTGAGAACGTTGTCCTGATGATATAACTATGTAAAGGCTGTTTTGTTGTCAGTCTGTAAAGTTTTATTGGCCAATAGAGAGTTGTATTGTTATGTGACAAAATTCGATATTGCAGCTCATAAGTGGCCGATGTCCTGATGAAAGTAAACCGCAGCTCAATCCATTGAAGTGCCGCTTCATTGTTATTAGCCATTACGGCTTCTTCAAGGCATTGCACCTGAACTTTAAAAACAGCGATCTCTTGGTCATTCGCAAAATAATATCTCCTAAAACATCATTGAACATACGGAATCGACTATAGGTATATCTTTTAATTTCCCCTGAGGGCTTTGGGGTGTACACTTGTCGGTAGATTGCACAGGAGTAGCTCTTATAATTAGCTAGCTCAGGACTCTGCCAAGCGAATACGGCACTGATGAAGCAGGGACGTTCAGAACAGAAAACTTTCAAATTTACATGAAAGTAAATCTAAATCTTATATAACGTCACTCCCAATGGGGACACGGGTGCCGCTGGCTACTTTTTAGCGTGCGCTTTCTATGGAAAAAAAAATACATTCAGAACAAACTACCAAACAAACTAAGATAGACAGCCATGGACGTTGTCGTTCGCATTGGTTAATAATTATTTACGTTCGTCTTAGCGACAGGGTATATCGAACGTACATACCGGTCCTAAATTATAGAAGCTCATTGACTGTATCGTCCCACGTTTACGCTACGGACTATACTAGAGCTGCCCAGCCCAGAAACTGCCTTTTCAGATGCTCAGTCATACATGTGAAAGTGAACTCTGTATCGAACGGTCTCTTGATTTTAATTCACGCCAAGCTAGTCAATACCAGGTCCCAGATATATGATGTCATACTTTTGTGTTGGCCAGTTTATAATTTATTCAGTATGTTCTTGTTAGTATGACATTTCAGACTTTTATTACGCTAGCAACGACCATTAATTTGTACGCGGCTTAACTTACCTAGTGTCGAAGTACAATGAAAGATCTTGTTTAATTTGTGTTTTTTGAGTTTTGCAAGAGGAAATGTGCTTTATGATCTTTGCCTTGTGCCAAAATTTATGAGCTATCAGAGATTCCTCTTGATGAGGATTTTTTCAAGTGCATTCAGAATTGCTTGGTCGTCCGGTGCGGTTTGCCCCAACTTCTGTATTATCCTTCAGACAACATCAATAGCCGAAGTGTTTTTCTGCCAGTTAATTGTTACTTTAATAATTCGTTTTTGCTTATACAGACGGCGAGCT